AGTCTCATTCTCATTATAATCAATGACTTCAAACTTCCAACCTTAATTTGTAGTTATAGTTGGATACAAAATTAAGAAGGGCGAACACATGCTGGCTTCCTATAAACATCTCTGTCTAATTTACCCTCTTTATAATTATCATAGCATCTAAGTAATAAGGACCTATTCTCTTCCATTTCCATAATGAACCTAATGTTCCTTTCACGTTGATTAAGTAAAAGTAGGAAACTATCTGAACTACTTTTACCATGAGGCCAGATGACAAAATAGTCATCAATGTATATATCCAACTATTTAGGGGTTAGTATTGCCTGTTCCAAAAATTGTTCCTCAAATAAGAACTAATTAATGGAACCTAAAAATTCCAGAGGTAGGCATGGTGTTGAACTTTTCCAAAATAATTAAATCGAAAATCATAGCCTTAAGGTAATCAACAATCAGGATCAGATTATCCCTTTCTACTAAACTTGCCTACAAAATGAAAGCCCGATTGAATAAAAATCACCTATTGTATAAAATTTAAGTGTCTTCCTGTGATAGGAGCTTGTGGATTAATTCATGAATGGTCTTAATACTTAAGTTAGAAAAGTAGAAAATTGTGGTCAGAGCCTAAAGCTTATCCAAGAGCTCAATTTACGCCTAATTTATATTATGAGATGTTCAACGAAATCAAAAAAAACGAGGTAAAGGTATGGTTGTATATACTTTTTCTCCATCTGGGGCTGCCCACATAAGTAAACCACAAGACTAGGGAACTGACCTGAATTAGAAACAAAATTCCTTTGTAGATGTTATCATAGATAGTGATTCGGAATTGTGCCACCTCAGAGTCAGAAAAGCATTTGCAATTGATAATTCTCATCTGCTTGAGAAAAGTACTCTTTCCGCTTTCTCCGGTACCCAGAAGCAAAATCATTTGACGTTTACGCGTGTACTTTTTCTCCTTTCGTAGCTGCATGTCAATATCGTGGCTGCGCGCTGTTTGCTGGCGAATCATCTCAAGCCGGGAGTCGCCTTGACGAGCAACCCATGAGTTGAGACAACATGAAAGTGTATCGGCCAGACTCGACATGCCGAATCCGAGCTTACGCCTGTCCGTCTGTGGACCAAAGCTAATGAAGACAATTTATAAATTAGAAAATATTTCCAAGGCTAAATGTTCGACATTGCTTGTTAGCATGGGCATTGTGCGGATTCAACAAAAGAGATAAGCATTAAAGATGTAAAACTTATACGGCATTCAATTTAATTACCTTATGTAGCTGTGTACAGAGATCATTTTATTTTTTTTAAATAGATATCTATCTCTTCATATAGGACCTGAAAAATTAAAATACACATCAATTTCATATGCGATTGTTTTGTGGTCATGTAATCGAAAAAATCCCAAAACGTGTCACAAACGGCTAGCCGATATCATCATCATCCTTAACTTGCATTTGCATAAGTCACTTTTCAAGTGTTGACTATACTCCATTTAGCATCTGATTTTTTTAAAATATGTGTAGATCCATCTCACGATATCACACTCTATATACTGTAAGTTGATCTTATTGGGACGTCCAGGATGAAGCAGACTTATTTTCTGGTGAAAACGTGCTGAGCCTCTGCCTGCCATTTGATATATATCATTATATCTGAAATTCAATCTTATATAATCTCCAAACTAATAATGGTATACATCGAAAAATGATTTTGAGGAGGTATATAATAATTTGGTTAGCCAAGGTACGCATAAAAATAGGGTAGAGGTAGGATGAAACATAAGAAGACTCAGTACCGAAGAATGGTGCATAAAGGATTACACTTACTCGGACATGCCGAAAAAAATTAAAAAGCAGACCAAACGAAATCCCTAATCAGCTTCTAATGAGGCGTTCAACTCTTTCATATTAAATAACTTAATGATGATATTTTAAAAATTAATAGAAAAAAAAGCTACTATTCACAACTATACAGTATATTAAGATGTCTGCACAATGTGAACAACTCTTATAGCTCATAATAAACAAAGGAGAACTAAAGGCTCCACAGAAATGTGCCCCATATTCTCAGCTCATTCCTTTAAGACAATTTTTAACCTTCATGTCCTTGTGGCACGTCACAAGGTCGGAAGGAGAAGTCTATTCGTTGACTACAGCAATTGCTAGCACCATCAAAAAATTGCTTCATATAAATAGTAGAAATCATTGGTCATTCCAAAGCAATCCATGCAAATAAACCTAACATCAGTGCCTCTGTTCTGCAAGTAAAAAAACTGGGTTTCGTATAATCCTTTAATAGATTGATGTTGGAGTACCTTTCATTTCGTTTGAAGAGGAGAATAAAGGCGATTCGTAAGTTGGTCTCACTTGAAGCTGTAAAGGAATTGCCTTGGAGCTGAGTGTAGATTTATGCAAATAGGTCCTCGGCGCACCGCCCTGCGAGCTCGATGAATACTTTCTGAGCTTTCATCTGTCATGTGACGGACATCTTCAGAGCAGGACACCATGCTTTCTGATAATACACCAAAACACGAATACAAGAAGGATGGCTGGAATGGAACCTACTTACTTCTAATAGTCCAATTTGGTCCACTTAGGCATCTCGTGTTTTGGTTGGATATCCTATACTTTGCCTAAATGCTTGCTCAAAAGTTAAGTTAAGTGGCTGCAGATGAAGTGAGAAACGGATGAAATTTTGACCGATCAGCTTCATTCTCCCCTTAAACACCTGTAGTGTTACTGCATGTGAATACGCTCTATTGCATGCAAGTGATTTATCTTTAAAATTGTCCTGATGTCCCATCTCAGTAATTCGCCTATCTTCTTCAGCAGATTGCATGATGGCAGCATAATAATTCTGGTAGAGGGTCTAACTGTTTATCTATTCCCAAATACGTAGTTTCTTCCATCCTATTTGACAATATTAAAAAATACTTGTCAACCAGCTCCCGTAGATAATTGTTCTCAACCAGAATTATCCTTATACTCCTCAGTTCCTGGTCTTGATGCTTAAAATCTGCAAACCGCAGGCTCTTTATTATAATAGACTTCATAACCCCTGCCTAAACCCCATAAGTGTGATTGGAGAAGAAATTCAAAAGGGAACTAGCATTTGTGGGTTCTACACACATTTCTACCTATTCTCGTTCCCTCTGCTAATTAGGAAATATAGACAACATAAACCACCTTCCTTTTCTAACTCGATGGTGAATTTCGTCTTCCCATCGATATTCTTCACCAAACGAAGAAGATTATCCAGGTTTTCTTTGCCATGTAACCAAATAGCAAAGTTGTCGTCCATATTGCGAGCTAATAATTTAGGGACCAAAAGTTCATATTTAATTAGACGTTCCTCAAATTGAGCCATGTAATTATTTGCTAAAGTTGGTGACAAACACGATCAAATAATTAAACCTCGTGTTTGTTCGTACAGCTTATCATTAAAGTTAAAATATTTACAGTGCATCGCCATGTTAATAAATATCATTATTGACACTACTTTACTTCTTACTCCCTAACATCGCAGCGTGTTGGTCTAGTGCAGATTGCAAGGCCTGTATAGTATCATCCACAGGAATGTTAGTGCACATATATTCAGAAAATCTCTACTTTCTATCTCCTGTTCGTCGAGTAAGTTAACGAATCCATAACAATTCTTAATTAAATCCTTCCACGTCTCGGGGATTTGCTTTAACTGATTACAAATAAACCATGTCTTGTGCATCACGTTTCATTTATTATTCACAGTAATTCTAAGTGGGACTCCATCTTTATGTCGTTTGGGCAGACCATACGCATTCGTAGGCCTAGCATCTCGTTGAAGAAATGCTCATCTTCAATTCTACAGTTCCCCATTTGTTGCACAATACTGAAAGCAAACCCTGCATATAGGCTTAAGGGCTTCTATAGGGTCCCTACTGATTACTTTATATATGGTAGTGTCATCCAAAACCTGCATTATTTTTTCTACATAGCTCAAGCAATCCATAACTACCACTGCTCCTAGTTTGCCTGCCCTCAACGCCATCTGGTCATCATTTAATTTCATTAAGATGTTTTCACTCTCTTATTCCTGAATGTTATTTCTACATGGCTCAGATAACATGGGTTTAATCAAGGATAGGACCCGTGTAGGGAAGGCCTGATATCTGCAAGCATGGGAATCAGAGCTAAGGCACTCTGCTCAGTGAAGCGGCAGTGTACGTGCTTCTATGGCCTTTAGAAATAACACCTAGAGTGAAATGTACACAGGGACTAGAATCGAGTGAAATCGGTCAACCAGAAAGATAAGGAACGGATCTAGGAGACAATGAAGGGATCCGGATTGGAGGCCCGAGTGGAATCAGCCGATCGAAAGAGGGGTCGGGGTAAATGGCAAATGTGATGAGGCCACACTAGATTTGCCACAAAAGGGCACACATTTTGTCGAGTGCAATGTAAACAAGTGAGAAGTTGTGATAGAGCGACAGTTGGATTAGAGTAAAGAGTAGAGATAGGCCAGGACACAAGGAAGAGTAATAGTGTAACCGTTTAAGGCAGAACGTTTGTCGAGGGAATGACTTCACCTGTTTCTTTGACAAGTTCGTAGCTTGTTGCGGAGAATGGCAAACACACAGATTATGCCGGCGAAACGTTTAAGAAGGAACCAAGTCCACTGTCTGATGCTGGGAATCATGACAATTATAATGGCAGACGACTTTGGACTAGGTGCGTCGCCCTGACAACAAGACCAAGTTGAGACGAGGTCAACCCATTTCTATAAATCTAAAAGAGAATGCGACCATACCAGAGGCCACAACATCTTGGTCTTTATATCTCTGAAGATAAAATATAATCCTATACTCCAATGAGTATATACACAAGACCGTCAGAAAAATTATCAAGCTCGATGGTTTGATTTCCAATGCAGTGCTTCGATAGAAACAAAAACAAGCTAATTTAGAAGAAAATTACTAAAAATTTCTATAAAGAATATCAAATATGAGTAGTTAGCATATAATTTCCGGGGTTTACATCAGTGTTACAAAAAATCTAGTAGCCTAACGAAAATCAGGAGTTTATGGATTTACAATAAAGGAGAGAAATGATTGTGTATGATTATATTAAAGGCGCCACATAAATAAACGTTTATAAGAGTAATAATAAATTTAGAGAAGCCAGATGTACATAAGACAAGTGGCTTAAGAAAACTAATTAAATCTTAGAAGTTAAGACACAGTAATAACACAATGCAACTGTGCCGCTCAAATAAATGAAAATAAGAGATTTTGGTATGTAATATTAAAATTCAAATCGCCCCGTGCTAATTAAGTAAATTGAGGCAATTTGGAATAGCCAACTAAATAATATTTCATAAATAAGCATATAAGAAACCCGAACAAGCCTTATCAACTCAAAACAATTATGTCAACCATATTTTTGAAAAATAAAAGCAGACGACTCACCAAAAGGTAAAAATACATCTACAAAAGACAAAGAGCAAAATAAGCGAAAAAGAGGAAAGTAAATAGGGCGCGAACGTAGGGGATGGGATGCATAATTCCTTCATGCTTAATTTATCGAATTATTGCTTTACTGTGTATTTTTATATCTTTTATCATTAAATAAAATTTAAATTGAGACACTATGGAGTTTAGTTATATATGAATTTAACCTGTTCTTGGACAGAGTTTCAATAATTCTATTTGAAATTATTAAGTTTTAAATCATATTACATTGTTCTTTCTATAAAAAAAATTCACTAGGTTAATACAGCTATGAACCAGTGTAAGCGTATTTAATGTATGAAGCTAATAATAAATGTGATGGCTGAACGTCTAAGAAGCCCAGATTATTAGAGAATACTTAGTTGATAAATATCTAGATATACGCTAGGTATTAAAATAAAATTAGCGTGGTTTTCTCGATTTAAATACATGATATTATCCAATATTCAATTTAATAAAAAGTACCCAGAAAATTTTTATTTTGAGATTCTTCAAACATATATATGTTAATGTCCAATTAAGCACTGCATACAGTTAATCATCCCCGATTTGTAATTGTTATCTTCTTTTGTTCTTGCATCAAAAGCTTGGATCTGCTTTTTATAAAATCTCACAGCCTTATCAGATACTCTAACCTGAATTATACACTCAAATCATAACTGAACATTTACTAAACAGGATTCAATATGGCCTATCAGAAAGAAGCCAATTTTTAATATTTATATTGATAGATAGCAGGCCAAGGTAATTTATCTTTAGTATATGTATTCGCTCTGTTTTTGTCTGTGACAAAGGACTGGTAACTTAATTTTTCTATAATTATATTAGTAGCCCTCACGTTTACACGAGTTTCACATAGCCTTGCTTCCCAAAACATATTGTTATCCAAGTGAAACTACAGTTTAGACTTTGCTTAGGTCTCGTGAGCAACTTCAGAAGGACTCAAACCAAGTTAGTGTAGCGTATAATCTCAACACGTTAACTATTACGCCCCACCACCACGACTGTCTTTGGGTTACACAGCAGAGGCGAATTTTAAAGTAAGCAGGCTGCTGAAGAAAAAGATTGCTCTCTTCACAAACCTGCCCGCGCAAACTCAAAAATCAAGAAAATGAAGTGTTTTGGAGTTTACTGCAGAAAATTTAAGGACTGCAAAAAAATATATGAAAGACTGGAAGGACTATTTGCACATAGATTAACGTGCTCCGCCATCTAGACAGAACCATGAATATGCAAAAATTGGATATAACTAAACACAATTCTCTGACCAACGATAGTATTAAATAAAATGCAATTAAACTATTTCCAAGCCACCTAATGAATAAGACAATATGAAAGGGAAGAGTTTG